TTAATTCCAAACAATATTCACCTGTCAGTTCACAGTTCATTGCTCTAAGTGAAGGCAACTGTGATGCTTCTTTGCACATTATAAAGTTGCTGGGTTGCATAAAACTACAGTTGTTGCTGGCTTGATAATCTGTTTTCTGTTGACAGGCAGAACATTAGCCAAGCTTCTAAATTGCAGTAATTTTTGCTTGTTTAAGTCTACTTAAGGATATAATTTGGAAAAGAAAATTGATGTTTCTAAGGTAGTTTCTATAGTTCAAAAGAATAAATCAAATTCATGATTTTGCCCTAGAGCTTTAAAGCAGCAGCCCCCAACCTTTTGGGCACCAGCGACCGGTTCCGTGAAGAGAGGTTTTTCGCTGGACTGGAGCAGGCGTGGTTTTACATGCTGCCTATATCCCGTGGATGGGGCTTCGCTTGTTTGAGCGGTCCAGTTTCTGGCATGCTGTGGCCCTGTGCCAGTCCATGGATCTGTGGCCGTGTGCCAGTCCATGGATTGGGGATTGGAGATCCCTGATTTAGAGAAAATGTTGAATGCATGGCTGCATTTGAGCACCTTTAGTTTCTGGCTAGAACAAGGCAAAAGAAAGAGGACAAAAATTCACCAGTCCCATCCTTTAATACTGAAAGCAAGATTTCCATGTCAGTGGGAGAAATGTGACTTTTTTTTTTAAATGAGTTCTTTCTATCAAGCACACACTCCCATTATTACTTTCTTAATAACTAGTTGCACAGGCTGCAGCATACGTCAGCTGGGTTGGTTTGTGCCAGTGTTGCAATTGGGATCATTTCAACATTAGTTTCATTAGCATTCTTCCCTGTTTTAGCCAAAGTTTTTGTGTAATGTGTTTCAATTTTGATAAACCTATTTCTTCAGTTCTTTCCTTTGGTCCTTAATTTACCCAACTAGATTTTCATTAAGTGCTTGCAAACCTTTGGTAACTACAGTTTCTTATTGTTCTTTGTTAATCTCAATAGTCTCCTCACTTTCTGCTGTTGTTGCTCACTCTGCAAATTGGTATTATTATTGGTATTTCAGAATAAACCCAAATTTTGAGTTGCTTATTTTTCAGTTGCTTCCAATTCAACATTGGTAAAGAACTTGTATTTAAAAATTACACTTTAGTCCATAAATCTCTGCTCATTAATCCCTAAATCCAGATGTCTTTTTTCCAGAGCTGGTAAATTCATTTTTGAAATCCATGTTTTGATGGTATTGATTGGTAGAAACATTCCATAGTTAGTAGTTTTCTTCCTTTGAACAAATTTTCAATTGCCTTCCAGTAGCCTGTCAGCTTCATGCCCTGGTTGCCTTGCAGAGGGAGCTGAGCCTATAGCACTTTTTTCAGTGAATGCCCAGTAGTCATACCACCTAACACAACTCATTAATCTGGGTGACAGTAGATTTGGCATGAAATTCAAATTATGTATTATCATATTAAATGTCTGTAGAGATTCTCAGTTGTTCAGGTCATAGTTGTCTCAAATGTGCTTTTTCAAAAGGCAACTGCACTGTTTTCTTCAAGGAAAAAACAGTCCAATTGCCTTTTGAAAAAGCATCTTTGAGACAGCATATTGAATGGATTTTTTGGAACAGATTTAGTCTGTTCCAGCTGTCCAGCTAAGACCTGCCTCATATGGTTGTGCCTCTTCAGCAAAGCCATAGCATAATTAGAACAGGCAGGCCCCTCAACAACAATGAAGTTCTGTTCTTTTGAGGGAGGTAATATTAATAATAATGTGCAAAAAGGAAAACCATATAGGTAAATATTGAAATTCTGACTTGCCCCTTTATGGGTTCTCATACCATTTGGCAGTACTATTGGAACAAATTTTAGAAACCATATTCTAGTTTTTTGTAATTTTCTTGCTGTGTAATAAATATAGATGCCATTCTTGCTTAAATTTAGTTACACTTTTTGTAGAAAATGTCCAGGCTGAATCCGAAAGAGGGGTCAATTACATCATCAGTTTAGAGTCTCATCGTGCCCACAAGATATAGTATAGATTATGTTTTTTAACATAAAACCTTTTAACTGTGTTTTTTTTCTTGTTTCCAGGTATTTTTTGGTAGACTTTGATTCTTCTCCAACAATAATTACGAATCTATTGGACCATTTAAAACGGGACATTGATATAATAAGGTCTAGTATTTTAAGACAACGTATAGAGCGGACCGAAGAATGTATAGGCATAATTCCAGTCAATTATGTAGAAGAACTACAGAAGAAGAAATAACCAAAAGTGATAATAATACTATTATCATTAATTCAAACTTTATCATAAGCATGTGTGAGATGAGGTATGATGTTTCAACCTAAGTTTTGGCTACTTTAAAGGCAATAATCTCCACTCTTATTTGTTATTGTAAAAATCAGAGAGCTTCCCCCCCTTATTGCTTCTCTTATTTAAATCTGGTCTGCCCTAAAAAGCTAATCCTGATATTATATAGAATCTGTTCCCAAATAAACAGTTTTAAAAGCAATTTGTATCATTTAGATATGGCACTCATAAAAACTGTAAAATGTTGAATGAAATTGTTGAGAATTACAATAAAATGTTCAAAAATTGGTTTTATAGACCAATGGACATAGTCTATTCTCTGGCATATTGTTTCCATTTAGCACAGCTAAAATCTAATAAGTTTGAGTTCATGAAAGTTAAGAAAACTGTATAGCTTTTAAAAATCCTAACAGTCTTGAATGTAATTTTTGTTTTCAAAATAAGGGAAGATCCTATCTTGTTATTTTATTATATTGTTAAATGTAATCTCTATGGACATCTTGTTTTCTTGCTACAATAAGTACATAGCATTGATAGTTGAATCAGTTTCATCATCTTACCAGCTTTAAATGCATTCTCTGTGAATGAATTGATTAAATAAAGTTGTGGCAATTGCCTCATTTTATTTATTTTTTCTACATTCTGCTTTTTTTTCCTCCCTCAATATGTTATCTACTGGACTGGGAAATCCCTAAATCCTTTCCTTAAAACCAACTAGGCATTAACAAAAAGAATAGACTCACATGGTTATTTCTTTAAAAAAAAAAAACAGGGTTACATTCATTCTAACATAACTAAGTACTTAACACTAATTTCCATTGTTGTAATTCTTAAAAAACCAACATCACTCACCAGCTATTACAACAGGCTTTACTCTACCCCAGAGGTCCCCAACCTTTTGGGCACCAAGGACCAGTTCTGTGAAGAGAGGTTTTTCCGCGTACCGGAGGGTGTGTGGTTTTATGTTCTGCCTGCATCCTGCAGATAGGGCTTTGCTTGTTTGTGCAGACTGGTTGCTGGCATGCTGTAGCCTGGTACTGGTCCACGGGCCGGGTGTTGGAGACCCCTGCTCTACCCCACAGAAAACAGATCTCTATATCTGCTTGTAGTTGTCCCCTTTTATTTACTAGAGCCATTTTTCTTAGCCTGGAAATCCTTTTCTGATTCATTGTTACAGGAGTCCAACAGATCTTCAAACTGAGGAGATTGCATTCAAGGAATCAAAACTCTTGAAGTGTTATGTCCCAGTCTAAAAAACTTGGGTTCAGAAAATTGCTGGATCTGTACTGGTAGAAATCAATATGGACCAATTCTGTTAATCTTAAGGGCTATTATGCAAATTTATCTAAATAATTTAAAACAAAAAACCATTGTGTTAAAGAAAAAGCTGAGGAAATAAATTAAGGCATTACTTAATGCACATCTTTCAGTGACATGTACATCAAGATGAGAGCCACAGATATGGTAAAGCAAAAAGTGGAAATTTCACCATTGAAACACTCAATTACAGCAAAGCATTATATTGTACTGTGGTTGTATTCATGAGCAAATATTTTTGATCAGAAATGTCTTCATAATGGCTGTCTCACAATGAGATATATTCAATTCTTTTAAATCCCTCTACTTGCTCTAGTATGCAATTTCCTTTTTAATCCAAGTATAAATATAATTGAATCTCTCTGCTGCCCAGATCTGTAATTAGCTATTTAAAGTTTGTAGTATGCATTAGCTTTTTAAAGCCCCAAATAACTGAAGCTTTCTTTGGAATATACATTGACTCCAGGTATAAAAATATTTCTGAGAAAATGTTTTTAATCAGGTGAGTTGTATATAAACTAGCAGGTCGTATTTTCCTATTTATATGTTCATATGATATTTCAAGATCTGAAGTCACTCACAGCTATAGATAATTAGGTTAGCATGCTGAAAATATCAGCATTTGGCACTGTCTTTTAAATAATTAGGAACGGAAGATTTGCCAGTAAGAAACAGATAGAACAATCGTCTTGGACCCAAACCAGCCTTATTGGAGCAAGGATTATGGTAGGCACTTACAAACTACTTGAAATCAAATATAGTTAGATGTGCAAGTTATTTTTGAAACTTCCAAATGGGCTTTGAAAAACTTCCACAACTTTGAAAATTGTGGGGGACTGGGGAAAAAAAAATAATCCTAATTGCCCTTCAGAGAGAGAGAGAGAGTTCTTAGGCTACCAATTAAAAGAGATTTTTCAGCTGTTCTTCAGGTTTTTTTCCTTTAGATGATAAAGGGCAAAAAGTCATGGGAGAACAGAAGAGGGTTGCGAATAAGAACTAATCCTTGGTATATTTTCTATTTCCAACAAATGAAATAATTTTTGGAGTTATGCTGTAAGAATTTTAAAAATGTTAAAAGTGTTTCATAAAACAATGTGATTGGCATGGCTAGTCATAAACTCATTGATCGCTTGCCACCAATGCTTCTATACCCTTCTCCCCAGAAAAGGGCTTTGTATTGCTCAAGATTAACTTGGACTTTTTTTTCCAGATTAGGCTGGTAGCATAATTCCCAAGTCAAAAGAGTAGGTGTAACAATCTGTACTTTTCTGGAAATACAAAATTATAGTGAATAAAGATGATTCCAGCTTTCCATTTAGTTTCTGTATTTGGGTTTGTATTTGTTTCGGCTTAATTAAAGGGACATCAGGTGAAATACCCACAGACATACTAAGCCACTGGCTCTTTTTGTATATATATTTCAGACAAAGCTTCATATCCCAATATTTTTCAGTCGGCTTTTCTAGAGACTGGGTGGAGTAGGATTGCCTCTTTATTTAGACAATTTATATAGCTGCCCATCTCAATCAACAAATTCACTAACAGGACTAATTTAACTTTCCCAACTCTGCCTGGGGGTATATCCAGATCTTTAATGCTTTGCAAAAAGGCAGAGGAGTCTCTGTCATCCAGATCATTAGAGGACCCTGTTGCATAAGGCAGTTGCTACAACAGAAAGCACAGCTTCTAGGCCCCACACTATCCTAAGGGAAGGGATTTTGAGCATGCCAACTTTGCCAATTCTGCTGGAGCAAACAGAAATAACTAGACAGACACACAAGTACCCTGGTTCCATCCATGCTATATATGTGATAAAGGCAAATTAGGAATTTACTAATTAACTTAATCTTTTTGGGGTTTATTGTTGGAAAGCATTATTAAGTTGAATTATTAACTTTACAGAACAGATTGGTAATCAATGGCCCACAGGTTGCCTTTCCTGGTCTCCATTGCCAATGAAGATTCATAACATGGTTTGTGACTTCTTCAACTTTTAATGCTCTGTTAGCTTTGTGCTCCAGTTTAATTTTGCTAAACTTAATTGTTAATTAATCATTTTAGAGCAGGGGTGTCAAACTTGCAACGTCACGTGATGTGTCGTGATGTATTGTGACTTTTTTTCCATTGCCAGCAATGGGGTGGGCACGGTTTCACCATGATGCATCTGGCCCGCGGCCAGCAGTTTGACACCCCTGTTTTAGAGGCTATTTTTGTATCTTAGCTCTGTTTTGAGTGCAATTACACAAATACCAAGTTTAATCCGTGGTTTAAATAGGATTAACTCTGATATGAGGAGAAATTGGTCAGGAAGAAAATTTATGATTGCTTTTGTGAAAGTAAGGCCTGTTCTTAAATAGTTTCAATTAGCATGTAGATAGAAGCAATCCTGTGGACTTAAATTTTGAAAAGCTTTTTGACAAAGGCTGACCAAAACTATAGCAAGTTGGACTTCATAACTGCTAGCATTCATTAAGTTATGAAACTGCTAAATGCAAAAAAAATCTCAAATATATTCCTAATGGGGGAGTTTTCAAAATGTCTTTTTAATTTCATCTTATTCACATGTACATGAAAGTAATACCAATACATTCAGTAAGAGTTTTCTCTAAGGATACATCTGGACTGTGAGTGAAAAACAGATCTTAATATTGCTCAGCAACAATTACCGTATTACAGTATTTCACCTGCTGTCAGCTTGAAATCTGTCAATAAAAAAACCCCTGCAAACTGAAGTGCAGGAAAATTTGAGAGTTGAATAATTTTTTGTGTTTGCCTCTGATAAGTTAGAATTTATGAAATAATATAAAGAATTGTAACCAAGATCTCTGTCTCACAATCTAGCCATATGCAAGAACAGCAAACTAATTCGAAGAATCAAAAGCTGGTGAGAACATTACCACAACATCATCAGTATGCCTTCTTGCACCTAGACAAGAACATAATGCTTTGAATGCCACCAATGGACTCCGGATTACATATAAGCCATTATTTGGAATATTGGTAGGTGGCACAGTAAATAGTCAATACCTATTTTGAACAAAACCTGTCAAGACTTTAACATTTTATATAGGAGATGGTGGCTGGATATTTCTCATTTTTTACCAGAACATCACTCATATAACATCTCTGCCATTAAATTGGTTTGTACAGAAGAGCAGTGGGTGGGTGGGAGATCTTCAGTTTTTTATCTCAGCTGGTATGAAGTGAACTATACAGTAGAGAGAATGTAAGACAGTGATCATATCCAGGCAGTTCAGATAGATAGCACATATTTTGGATTAATTCTTAATATTAATGATATTAATTAATATCTTCTAACAGGATGGAACCCAGGTCTGTGGTTCAAGGTCTGGTTCTTCCTGCAAATCTTTTTGGAGAGAGCTGAATAAACATTACCAAATGCAAATATCCTATGGCTGGTAATTTCAACACCAGAATCGGCAAAGATATCAACAGTTATGTTAGGAAGATACAGTTTAGTCCAAAGGATGAATGATATTTGTGCTGGTTCTCCATGGACGAATTACTAAAAAAAAAAAGGGGGGGGGAGATTCCACATTGAATCTGGCCTTTAAATATATAGTGTCCATGGCTGTAACTTTGACAGTTCTAATGTGCATTATACTTTTTCTAAGTTCATCTGGAACCAGTGTCATTGATGATAGGTAACTCAGTAGATCTACTGAGCCCTTATTCTCAGCTAGAAAATTGTTGTTTTTTTAAGTCACACAGATACTAAATCAAAGGGATTTTGCACTTCAATCCAACTCCAATATATATCATGCTTTTATACACACACACACACACACATCTATGCAAATTTGTATTTTTAAATGTAATTATACATATGTAAGCAATGCTTGACTTTACAAACATCACAGTGACAATTAGGTCAAATGTGTTTTGCCTCCAGTGGCCTCTAAGAGTGAATTATTGTCTCCTTATAATACAATGGATTTAGAGAAGCCAATTTTTCTGTTGAATAAGAGTCATAACTTACCGGTAAAGTATATACATTTCAAGCTGAAAATCAGAATCTGCAAGACCAGCTGGAGTTTCTAACATAGGTACTGTGAGCACCACAATTTCCATGGACACCTCCTTTGAAGCTCACCAAGCTGTCTGCTGCTCTCGCCTTTTAATATTTTTCAAGATTGTGTGAATTAAAGGTAATGAACAGACATGAATCTTCTTAAGAACTGATTGCTTATTTTTATTTCAAGTAACACTTTTCAGACTCAGATTTGCTTCACAGAAATTTTAGAAACAATAAATAAGTGTTTGGCTGCAATCTAGTGTTTATATAACCACTTTATTAAAAGTTTTAATGTTTCAAAATTCTCTCTAAAGCATCAAATGAACTGTGAAAGCGCCATGCGACAGCAAGGACTTAATAAGTACCAGTCTCAATGCACACAAAGAAAAGGTGTGTCCTCCAACTGACACAAGAGAGTGAGACCTGGGTTTTAGAAGAGGCTACCTTAACTGATCTGCAATGTACTTCTGTCACTTCTTAAGGAAACGGTGGCGCCCAATCATTTTGGGTTACAATTGCTATCTTTCCTATCAGCTATATTTATTAAGCTGAAGTAATTTCTGAAGGACCATAAATACTCAAAGCTTGCTGCCCAAATAGCCTTTGGAGGCTGGGACAGATTTAGAATGTTATAATAATATGTTTTTAAAAAATGGAATTCTAAGAGCCTTCACTGGTTTTGTTAACATAGGAGGAAGCTTGCCAACTTACAAAATTAAACCCTATCAAGGTTTGAGAAGTTTTAAGTACTGTAGTGAGTCTCCTTCTCATCGACCGCACTAGTGCATTAAGGCAGGAGTCCCCAACCCCTGGGCTGAGGCCTATTCAGAACCATTCAGAACAAATGGAGCTGCACGTGCATGTGTGCGCTCGCCCACCACTTGTGTGAAACCATCCCCTCTCCCCCCACACCAATCTGCAAAGCCGGTAAGGTTGAAGACTACTGGTCTAAGGATTCTTAATATAAATTAAACAAAAAGATATTTGATTACTCGATTTATTAATTATTAACCTGGAAAATCACAAACTATTTTGTGATCACTGTAGCTCTGTAAAACTCCTTTTCCCCTAAGCTTTTGAGCAATAGATAATTACTTGGTCATGTGAAAATTTAATGATGTGCACATGGGTGAAAGGAAATATAAATCAATTTTGCCTATTTTGATCTTTGGTTGGACCTATCTTAGACATGTCTGGAAGGCAGGCCTTCTGCCAAGGAAATACTACTGCTTAGACTCAAGATGGGAAAGGGATGGTTCCCAAAATACTTTGGAGCAAAGGTTAGAATTGAATATGTCTGTTTGTTTGTAGGGAAGGGATTGGATAAATACAGAGGTTTTTAGGAATTAGGAATTCATTCCCAGAAGTTTTCATCTGAAAGTCACAAGGCTAAAAGTGCTTGAAAGAGCCTTTTCACACATTATATTTTTAGATGTGCAGATAAAATGTCATATGTGAGTAAGAACAGGAATAGATTGAGATATAGGAAGGATATACCCCCATAGTGTCTATGTTTTGATGTAAATGTGGCTTGTATGGTAGAGAATCTACTATAAAAATTAATTCCCATTTATTTTATAGAGATGCAGGAAGAATACTCATAACAATCGCTTGTTATCTAGATTTATGAGTTACAAGGAGTGGATCAAGTATAATCTAAGCATTAGTTGTAAATATAAATTTAATATATGATGAAGCAGCATCCTAGAGGCCAGACAAAATTGCAATATAGAAACAAGGCAATTGTGTAGGATTAGCATTCCTTTAGAATAACCTTGGATGAAAATAAATGATTTTCAAAATATTCAATATTTAACAAGCCACCTGAAAGCCAACAGGATTCTCAGAGATTTTTCATTGCGACAATAATTTATAATCACTGAGATTTGAAAAAAGAATATATTTCAACTTGCTATTTTAGCTGTCAATGCCCTTTTCTAGTACCTTATTCCATACAATTTCAATTAATGAAGTTAAATGCCCCTCTAACAGTTAAAATTGTGTGACGCACTGACTGTGATCAATACTGACTTTCCAAAATCTTGCAATGTTGCCAGTGAAATTTGACAATATTGATTCAAAATATGATGTAGCTGCAGATACTGATCATCAGTGCTTTTTTTTTTTGTAAAAAAAAAAAAGTGCCGGAACTCACACGTGTCATACAACCTGCCTTGCCTACCCTGTAAGGTTCCATCCAAAAAAGGTGCCGGAATGAGCTGAGGTGGCGCAGCAGTTAGAGTGCAGTACTGCAGGCCACTTTAGCTGACTGTGTTCAGCAGGTCAGCGGTTCAAATCTCACCGGCTCAAGGTTGACTCAGCCTTCCATCCTTCCGGGGTAGGTAAAATGAGGACCCAGATTGTTGGGGGCAAAAAAAGCCCTGCTGATCAGCATCAAAATTATTTTCTTCTGAGAAGATTCATTCATTTTCACATGCTGGCATTAAGAATTTGTTTCACATTTGCCCAAGCTTCTAGAAATGCCACCATCCTATCCAATCACTAACAGTCTCAGCATCATTTTTTTTTTACATTCATTAGCAGAATTCTTTTAGTTGATGTAAATAGTACTTTTATATTTTAGGCTCTTTTGTCCTTTCCACAGACTAAAACGCAGTAAAAGGCATACTCCATAATGTCCCATATCTATTAAAGTACTTTGATAATCTGTCTTGTTCCTTTTGCCATTTCATTACCGTTAGTCAAGCAGAGTCACGATAAAATATGAACTAAATATAGAGGAAAGCAAAAATAATGGTTATCAGTAGGAATAAAATCACTGAAGCAGATAATACACTAGGGGAAAAACAAATACCAAAGGTGTGACATTATAAGCATCTGCATTTTGAATGTTAGATGGGATGGAAACAAGGAGTATAAAATGGATGAGAACAGCATTTCAAAATATAAAGAAAGTTCTTTACTACTGGAAGTTCAGACTGGAATTTTGTTGATAGATTATATGTGGTTATGACTTAGTAGCTGTTTTTATGGAATAGCATGGATTATGATTCAAATCCCCATCAGGACAATAGAAATATCTGAAATTTGGATCAATAGGATATTAAGATAACATAGATTGAATGCATATGGAATGCTATATTATCCTCTAAAGAATTGGCTAAAGGAAATGTGAATATCACCATGAAAAGCAAATGGATATTTGGGAAACAGAATGAAAAATATCAAGCTTCTTTAAATTTCCCTTTCCTTTCATGCTTGTATCCTTCCATCCATCTGCCAGAACATTTCTTCTGCGGAGAAGAGTTTTAATTCTAGGTGACAGAAAGGGAGGCAGACAGGTGGAAAAAAGTCCAGGTTTTAACTTTTAGGTTCATTGTAAAGCAACCCCAGCAACTCAACTATCTGAAAGAAAAAGATGTCTAACTTCTGGAATAAAGGACTGTAGTCCTAATTTTGGAACGTCCCTAAGATCTCTATAAATAATACAAATGATTCCTTCCTTCCTTCCTTCCTTCCTTCCTTCCTTCCTTCCTTCCTTCCTTCCTTCCTTCCTTCCTTCCTTCCTTCCTTCCTTCCTTCCTTCCTTCCAACCAACATACATACATACATACATACATACATACCTATAAAAGAAAAAGAAGATCCAAACTGTAAAAGAAATAGTTTACAGATCTCTTGATATTTGTAGCTGATTACAAAATTGGGAAAATGATTGGATGAGAGAAAAGGAACATGACCATTTTTCTCTTTAATTACATTTAGTTGGAACTGAGCCATAATACTATTTTTAAACCTATTAACATAAGCAAACATTTTTGATACCAGTTAAAAGTGCTTACAAGCTAAGATGCTAGGACTTAACATAAAAGACATGATGTCAAGAAATTTGTCAAATCTTAAATGATGAAGAGATGATACATATTGATGCCTAAATATTTGGCAAATTTCTTTTCTAAATATGAATATCCACCAATCAAATTCTTGATTTTGAATCAGTCCATCCATTCCACCTCCTCCTATCCAGATCTGAGTTTCGCAGCTGCAAATTCCAGTTTTATTTGTTTTAATGCTCTAAATATATCTACTGCCAGATTCTTTTTTGAACTATTTTAAACTACATATTTGAAAAAGCTACTTTTTAAATGAATAACACACATACCGGTAGTATTGTACTCCTGCAAAAGGCAAAATATATTCCCTGCCTTTGGCACCAACATTCTTTGCCCTTGTTCTTTGTTTCCTCATTAGAGTACAGTAAAATCCAACAAAATTCAGAATTTAAAACTCAAAGCAAAAGCAGGAGTTCCATGGCAGGCTTTTTGTATACTGGAATTTATAATTTAGTTTTTAATTTTATTTTAGGTTTTTTTATCCTGCCTTTATTATTTTTATAAATAATTCAAGGC